TAAGCCCTAAACTCGTTCTAGGTTCCGAGGTTGTCGTCCGATACGACGTAAACTCTCATATCTTCTAGGCGATTTGTGTGGTCCTGTCACGCAAATATAAGCCTTAATTAAATAAAAATGGCAGGATGAAACACTTTAATAATTTCTTCTTAAAGTTGGAGCCAAATCATAGGATAGACTGGGAAGTCACTGAGGTTCTCCTCCGGATCTGTGGCCTCCCCTAGATTCTCTTCATTTGGATTCCTCAACAATGTTCCAGATTTGAACATTTCCCCTTTCACACCTCTTCGTCCGATTCCGTTGAAAAGTCCTATTTTTTTTACTTCTTTGAAGACATTATTCCCTAATTTTTATCGAGAGTTTTCTTAGGTGACCTAGGTCATTTAAGATGTAATTAACCATAGGGGTTTGCCTTTATAGGAAGTTTTTCCGAACCCAGCTTAAAATAAACCCTATTTAATTATTTGTATTAAATAGGGGAACTTGTCGGCAAATAAAACGGTTTCGCAGACCAAACGGATGTCATATGTTTTCTTAGTTTATTTGATTGAGTCTCATCCTCAAGTCTTGTGTTTATCCCTCGGGGTAGATACAGGATTTGAGGTAGAGTGCTCTTTCATTTAAACTGTGAAAAATATGAGATCAGTTTGATTTCATAGTTTTCTTAAAACTTATATATATATCTAAATTAAACGTCCTTCCGAAGCGGGCGACGGGATTTCGATTCCGGCGACCGACAGCTTCTTACGGGCGACCCCCCAAACTTTCTTTTAACATTCTTTTAGTGCCGACAGAGGAGCAACAAGCAAGCAGTAATATCTAGAAGTAGTGCAGAATCTGAGTACCGAGCACTTGTTTTGAGAATTTGTGAAGGAATGTGGATCCAAAAGTTACTAGATGAGTTGAGATGCTCCACGGTCAATCCCAAAAAAGTTTCGTGATAGCCAAGTCACTATTAATATTACAAAAAACATTGTGTATGATGACAGGACCAAACACAATGAGATTAATAGATATTTTATTTCTGAAAAGGTCAATGGTGTCATTATTCACTTAATCTACATTCCAAATCACTTCAAGTCGCAAATGTTTTCACTAAGGGTCCGTTTGGCGCGATGTTTTCTGCGCGGTGCGGCGGGAGGCCGCAGAATAGGATCGTTTGGCGCGGAGTTCCACTGGCAGCGGACGCGAATTTAAGGGAAAAGTCGGCCGCGGGTGAGACCCTGCGGCCCGTGGTATCGCTCCGCCTTTTTACTCCACATCCCCTACCCTTCTTCCATTTGATCCCTCCTGGGGAGCTTCCTCTGCCGATCGGAAACGCGTGCCAACATCCGAAGAGTCGGTAAATCAACATCTTTCTTCTTCTTCAAGTCTGCTCTCCCTTGCGAGTAAGAATGGGAAAATTAGGGTATCTAGCGATGAAGACGGATCAAATCAGCAGCGATCTCATTAATTCAGATCTACTTGAGCTCGGTATGGCTGCCAAGAACCTCGCCGATCACGCCTTCATGCTTGGAAGCGGCCTCCATTATTCTCCCAGTAAGCGGCCTGCATTATTTACCCAAAAGTGAATCTCCATTATTCTACCAGTAACCCTTAAATTGAAGTTTGTGGTTGTATCTTTAGGTTTCCATTATTCTCCCAATACCCCGATTTCCACAAGATATCAAAGGCTGTGGCTCTGAATGAGATAAAAATGAAAGTAAAATTATATGATGTATCAAATTCTTTTGATTTTGCTTTTCTCTAGTTAGTAATATGGCATGTGGAAACGGAGATTGAAGTGTTATTTCCGTAAGAGCATCCTTTGCATTTCTTTTGATTAACATCAATTGTGTTTTTGAGTTTACAACTTGTATGCATTTTCATTTTCTTTTAGATTGATTGTTCTTGTTGGTTTACTAAATTTTTATTTATGCTTCCTCTCTTTTATAAAATTGCTGCAGATGTTTCAGTGGTATGGGAAAAGTGCAGTTGTCTGAGTAGCTGTTTTGAGCTCTTTTTTATTTGTGTGATGCAGATGTCCTTACTTTATGCTGATGGGCAAGATGGTATGTATGTAAATCTTCCTAAAATTAAGTAGTATGGTGGCATATACTTTGTAAAAATTAAAGTTTAGGTGTTAGATATGTGGATACATAAGAATTAAGTGGTATGTAGGTCATGATCATATTTCCTATGATTCCCTTAATAAGGGAATCAACAAGATTTATGAAGTAGACTTCCCAAAAGGTCCTTTGATTCTAGGCTTATCCAAACCCTGCTGGATAATAGAAATCTTGGCAATGAAAGCAGCATCCTGTTCCCCAACCAAATGTTGCAGCTTGTAACCATCCCAGCCATTCACATTCCAACAGTCAGCCACTTTGAGAGTAATGTCCATAGGCCATCATACCGATCAGCCAAAGCCCCTTGCCCAGTCCAGTCTTCATACCAAAAATTGACATTATCATGTCCCAACTCCCAAGTCATCAAATTTTCAGTCTCCTTAGCCATCGTCAGCATCTCCTTCCAGATCAGGGAGTCTTTCACATTGTGGGTAATGGATTCATTACAAGTGCTTTTAAATACCATATTTCTTATGATATTTCCTATGGTGAAAGTGTTATGTATGCAGTTGTCCTTATTTTATGCTGATGGACAAGCTGGTATATTGTGTTGTGAGCTATGCTTATATTCATGAATTGAATACATTGATTTTTTCTTTAATTTGCGCTCTGTGAAAGTGAAGTTTAGGTGTAAAGTGAAGATTTACATACCAACCATATGGGTGGTATAAAGGTATAAAGTGAAGTTTAGGTGTTATATATGTAAAAACATAGGAATTGGAGGAAGTTTCAATGTTTATTCTAAATGCATTACCATGAAGTTTTCAATGTTTCTTCTAAATGCATTACCGTGAGCTTCTATGCCCTAACGTCCAACTTGCTTTGGATTTTCTGAAACCTGTGGCCTACGAGGCTTGATTAATAGAAAATGCACCAACTTTCTATGAAAATAAGTGTTGAGTTTGTAGAAGAAGGTATTGTTGATGCTGCTATTACTGTGTTTCCCTCTGGGCTGCTAAAGCTTTTACCTCTCGTATCTTCTTTACTTCAAGAGCTTCTCTTTATTATAAATGAAATTTTAAGCATCTCTGTTGCCATTAATTCTGCTTGCTGTGAATAATTATTTGGGGAAAAAGAGAGGAATACTTAGAATATCAATTTATTATTTTTTTAAATGGCCAAGGGATCGAGGATGGACTTGTCAGGAGCTTCTTACTCCTCAGGCAATCCGTAGACAACCATGTTATGAGACAAGGGTGTGAGCTCTGCAAAATGAATGACAAGGTTTATGTGTTTCCATCGTTGGAAGTGCCTATCATTTCTTCTGTCTCTTCATTTGAAGATATGTAAATATATTAAAATTGTGCTCAATCTGCTATTCTTTGTTTTAATTAATGTAATCTTTACTTTTATCTTTTTTTGAAATATCCAAAATAATACCATATTTTTAATGTAATATTTGTCTGTTGTTTACTATTGCATTTTATTATGCGACCCAATTCTTTCGTTAGACCTCTGAAGTAATATGCAAATATTCACAAAACTTTAAAGTTTATGTGTTAGATATGTAAATATGTAAGATTGTGTTGCATATGTGTTTTTATTCCTAAACAGAAGTTGTTAACACTTTGGGGTCTTACTGAAGTTCCAAAATTATGATTGTTATACTCCTTTTTTCAAGAGTTTTACCAAATATGGGCAATATGGTCTTTTTTTCACAAACAGTTATCTGACAGCTGCTTTGACATAGCTGCACCAAACAGACAACCAGCTTCCCTGCAGCTGCTCACAGACAACCAGCTTCCCTGCAACTGCTTCCTCGCAGCTGCTTCCTGGGACAGCGCAGCTGCAGTTGAAAAGCTGAGAAGCTACAGCTGCCCCAAACAGAGCCCAAATCCCTACCTCCAAACTACTTTACTAATTTGAATACCAAGTTGGGCCTTCACGACATCTATGACCCCGCTTGAGGAGTGTAGAATTATGTCCCTGTTAGATGGCCCGACTGTCGGCCATATGGACCCCACAGACTTAAATTGAAGAAGCTAATCGAGGAAGTTTCCTATTTCAGCTTTATTCATTTTTATTCCTTTCTTATTATGTTGTATGTCTTTCCTTCCTTTTTTTTGTTTTGCATTTGGTAAGTTGTAATAGTTGTAATTATGTTTGCCCTCCTTATCCCCCATATAATAAAGGGAAAGGTGGTAATTTTAAAATGAATGAATAAGAGAATATAGTTTCTTCACTTTTCTTCAATAATACTTAAAAGAAAAATCAGGTAAAACATTACTGTAAAGAAAAATAAAGAAGCTAAAATTGAATTAACCTTGCAAATGATAAATGGACTCATGAATAGAGTTGACATGGGATCTGAGAAATTTCAGATTGTCTTCATGATGCTTGACCTCCTGTGTCACTTTCTGCAAATTATCCTGCTCTTTCTGAGACAAAATAAAGCATGAACTATTAGTTAAAACCTTTAGAAGGCCAGTGGACTAAAAGTAGTATGAAACCAAACTACAGCATTTCAATTTTCCAACAAGGAAACATTTTAATAAGTAACACTGTCCAGCAATATGCTATCTGTACTCAATGCACTACTGCAAAACTCAAACATATGATCAAACAAACCTGAATTAAAGTCTTGAGTAATTCAAAGTTTGGTGCTGCATTGTGCAAATAGGTTTGGGGTATTGCAGACATCAGGTTTCCACTGATAGAAGGGCAAAATGACCTTATAACCAAATGAGATGCTACCTAGTACTGATTGACAGCAGGCTGGATGATGCTCTTTGAAAACATCATAGAAAAAACAAGAACCTGATTGCACGTAAAAATAAATTTTAATCAAGATCAGAAAAAATCAATATCAAGTACTAGATAGTCAAATGCCAGAAACAATTCATGCTGTAGTAGTCCAATCATATAATTAATGAATTTTAACCGATAACTAAATAATACACATCACTAAATATCATGTAGTCTAATTATCACGTAGCAAAGCACTAAGGATTGTTTACCACTAAAGTAGTTTTCATAAAAAAGGTGGTTCCTAACCATTTTGCTTAATTATTTTTTGGTAAAATTTGCTGAGTCTAAAATGATTTAATTGCTTTGAAACAAGAAGTACAACCTAAGCTAAGCCTTCAAGCTAATAAAATAGCCAAAATCAACGAATCCAGAAAGAAGGCCTATAAATGATAGATAGTTTTTCGATTTTCTACATTCTCATCTATAAATGCATAAGGCCCAAAAATAAAAAAAGCAAAAGGGTTGGTTAAAAAAAAACTGGAAACAGACATAGGCAGGACAGCAACAAATTAATGGAAAAGTGCAAAGCAGCCATGAGCAGCGAGAAGTGTCTTCAACACAGCAACAGCTTTTGAGCATTAGTCAGCACAACGGAACAACAAGAATATGATAGCCTTATAGAAAATTAAAAAGATTCATGCTTACTAAAAGACAGTGCTAATCGAAGTGGAATTACATAAACATATCAAGAAAGCCCAACAGGCTCAGTCTGCAGCGGTAATGACAACTAACAATTGAAGACAACCCAATTCCAGTACCTTCACCAAGCAATACCATAATATTGTACTCACAGAAAGCCTAAAAAAAATGGTAAAATTGACATGAGAGAGATGAAATGGTAAGAAAAGTTGCTGTGTTTATTCTCACAATGAGTATTTGTGCAGAAAATTACCTAGAAAATAATTGCAAACTATTAATTATAACAATATTAAATATTAAAACGGTTGTTAAATGCAATTTGTTTTCAACTTTAAAATGTTAATTTGCTTGGCAGTTAAATACAATTTCTCAGCCTAATTTTGTGAAGTTATATACTTGATGTCATTTTGGCTTTTTTTTTTTTTCTTTTGTTTTTAAGAACGTGGACAAAATATATATAAATAGTGCTTTGTATCAAGTTTTATTTTTTTAATAAATCATTTTGTTATAAATGCACTCAAAACAACTTTTATGTATTTTTCATATTTTCAAAACATGAACTTTTAGCCACCCCATGTCAACCACCATGCAAAAAAGCCTTGCATCAACTGTTGAACAGCAAGGTGCCCATCAACTGCCTATCCTACACTTGCCATTGGGTTACCAAGTGCCTGCCACCAGGATAGCATACACCTGCTGTCAACCCATCCAACATCCACCTCCAACCTACCCCATACCGAAGTTGACAACATCTCCATCTAATCCACCAATACTTTAAGCCACAAAAGTGTTACTGCCCATTTACAAACCGTAATACAAATCAACTTATGTAATATTTAATTAAAATAAAAGATAAATTGACCAATATTTAGGATAACAAAAATATTTTTTTAAAATATTAAAACATAAACAAAAAAAATTACAACAAAAATAAAATGTGATCCCAAAAGCCCCTTATATTTTGCTTGTTGACACAACTTTTAAAAAATTCAAGCATTAGAATTTAAATTGCATTTTAAGTCTTTCTCGAGTTGCTATTGTAAGCCTTATGAGTCAATATATTTAGAGCTCGAATCCTTATTCATCACTTAGATTTGCTTATAAGACATCGTTTTTATCTTCCTCTTGACAAATCATTGAATCTTATGCATTTAGTCAATCAGTAAATAACCTTTACAATCTTAGATTGATGAACCCTAAGAATTTATAATGAATGCATTGATAAAATAGCATCACATTTAAACTTTACTGAGTTGTTAAAATATCTTATAATTAGTACGAGAAGTACTCATTCACTCCATATTGATATGAGGATCTAATTAAAAAAGAATGCTTTAAACCTAAACTAAGGTACTCCAATTATATTCATAAGCTATGCAAATAGGTTATGTTAAAATAGATAAATAATATTGGCAAGTTTTCATATTCATAAGGTGTTACAATAATTAAAATGGATTGATAAAAATGCTGAAGTAAATATTATTGCAACTAAGTATAAATAAATTTAAACCTAGATAACATATAGACTAGCAATAGCACAAATGTAAAGAAACAAAATTTTTAAGTCTACTCAAAAGACAAAAACCATCTGATGCTACAACATCAATGCTCTCGATGATGAGCTCAAAACAAAGCACCATAAAACTTAGATTCATATACCTATATCAAACAAAGTTTGCAATACAATAAAACTACTAAGATCCAGCTTAAATTCTCATGTTTCATAACCTAGTTATAATTATTAGAAATAAAAATGTTCTATTAACCATGAAATGCAAGCGAAAATCCACAAGTGGGATGGGAAATCAAGAATGCATTTAAATATGTAACTAAATTGAACTAGAGGATTAGCTGGTACTCTAAAATTAAGAAAGATTTTCCGTTCTACAATTTATAACTACTTCTATATAACATAAGCTAACATTAAAAATAAATAAGAGCCATTATTCCATATATAAACTAAAAAACTAACAGCTAAATTTACAACTTCACCTTAGACCCAAAACTTTGGAAGAAGAAGAAAATGTTCAGGGACCGCATAACCTAATCCACGAAGCTCCCACCAATACGAGATCTGGGAAGCAGCCAATGTATGCAGCCTTAATCCTTATGGTTTAGGTAGGATTCTTCATTAGAAAAATTCGAGGATTTCCAGCTTAAATTAATTTGCAAAAAACCAAACGGTTTAATCTTTGTTACTACACAATAATCTTATATAGGTTTGCATAATCGAGGTTTGCGCACAGGCAAAGGCACAGGCACCGGCATCCTCCAGGCGTGGTTAGGGGACAGAGAAGAAAATGGAAGATTGGAAGACTATGCTAGGGCATCATAAGCATTACCTCATTCTCAGATCAAACTCACTGAAAGCCACGCCAAAACCAGAGATATCATCTCTGCCGACGGCGCCGGTTTCTTCCTGATATCTCCCTCTGACTCCCAGTCTCGCCAGCTCTGAGTGTGCTCTGTGCTCCGACTCCCGTGTAACCCTTCGCCACGCCCTCAGAAGAATTTCGGAATATTACATACATGCCACTTATCTACTCCTTATGTAGAAAAAAAATTACATGACTACTGATTAGGGCTGTCAAAATGGGTCGTTGTTCAGGAACAGCTCGTGTTCGGCTCATTAAGAAACACGTGTAGAATATTACATACATGCCACTTATCTATAGAAAAAAAATTACATGGCTACTAATTAGGGTTGTCAAAATGGCTCGTTGTTCACGAACAGCTCGTGTTCGGCTCATTAAGAAACACGTGTTCAGCTTGTTCACTAAGTTAACGAGCCGAACATGAAAAACATAAACAAAGATTGGTTCGTTCGTGTTCGGCTCGTTTTAGCTCGAAATGCTTCTAATATATATATATATAATAATTAATTAAAAATATTAATTAAGAAAATAGAATAAAAATTATTAAAGTAAATTCAAATGATGGTCTAATATTAACAATAATGTTTAAATCTTGCTCTAATCCTTAACATCTTATGGCTACCTGGGTAGGGTTGTCAAAACGACTCTTTGTTCGTGAACGGCTCGTGTTCGGCTCGCTAAGCAAACGAGTCGAACACGAACACACCGAACACACTTTTTGAGCTCGAAATATAAACGAGCCGAACGCAAGCTGAGTCTGGGCTCGCTCGTGTTCGGCTCATTTACACCCCTACTCCTAATGTATTCGGAGTTCAATGATGGGACACCACTTTTCATGTGTGCTCTGTCATTTTTAACACCGGTTAATACCAGTATATTACAGTGAGGCTCACTTGACACGCCTCACCATTGAACGCCGAACGCAAACTGCATTAGAAGTTCTGATGTAATATTTTGTCCAAGTATTAAAAATAAGAAAGATTTGCATAACAATTAATTCCCAAGTATTTATAGATCTAACATCTAAACTTCGTCTTTTTCATACCATCTTACGTACATTGCAGTTTATCAAAAGACTTTTTAAAATAACTTTATTTACATATAGCAGGGTCTTTTGATATGTACATTGGAGTTTATCAAAAGGACTTTATATGTACATTAAAGTACATAGGATGAACTGCATTTTGTCCTTAGTTTGAGTTCTTTACACTATTGATGTAATCATACTTTCGTATGATATTCCCTTATGTGAGAGGTATTATTTTTTTATTTTTTATTTTATCATGTATCATGAGTTTGGTCATTTAAAGGAAAAAAATATTGTATAAAATGCATTAGAACTCCAATCACTGTCTACCACGTGTAAAGTCTGGGTCTACCGTGTATTAAATTATTTAATTTTTTTTTACTAAAAGGGCTCAGACTGTACACGTGACAGACAGTGATTAGAGTCATAATACATTATGAAAACTGATGTAATATATTGTACACGTGACAGACTACTGATGTAATATTTTCTCCATTTCAATGGAGCTCTTATGTAGACCAAGGTAGAGTATTAAATAGTATATTTCAATCCCCATTAAAACATGTGTGAAGGGGCTCGGACTGTACACGTGACAGACAATGATTGGAGCCATAATGCATTGCATTTTTGCATCATGACTACTGATGTAATATTTTCTCCATTTCAATGGAGCTCTTATGTAGACCAAGGTAGAGTATTAAATAGTATATTTCAATCCCCATTAAAACATGTGTGAAAACTATATTTGAATATTGCTCAAATCATGATTGAGCATGATTCAAACATGTTCAAGCACACATTCAATCATTATTAGAATCATAATATTCAATCATTTTTCTAATCAAGTTTAAAATTTCTAATAAAATGATCAAAAAAATAAATAACTCTCAATTTAAAAAATATACAAGCCTTAAGTATAAGATAATTAAGTGCTACTAAGCTTCTCAATATTCATGCATATCCAAAAAAAAAAAAAACTATTTTGTTTTGATTTGCCTCAATTGACTTTCCAAAAATAACATCCTTGAATATAAATTTTGAAATATATAAAGAGTTGGAGGACTATTTTAAATAAAATTCTTAGTAGGATATCTTTCTCTCACAGGATGTATTTAATTATCAATACTTGCCCTTTGTCAGAAAGATGCATCTTAAATTGAAATAATCCCATCATATTCATAATAAGTAGGGAAAAAATATTTTATTCATGTATAAGATAAGATCAAATCTTAGATAAGAACCTATACTGAGAGAGTAACTTAAGCCCGGAACAAGCTTTATATAAAAGACTTATATATTTATTTCTACATGGAACTTATAATTCTACCATGAATGGATGGTCGAATAAACTCACATATATTCTTTAAAACCATGAAGTTTAACCTTTAGAAATGTGTGTGTGTGTGTGAGACTACCATTTAATTTAGCCAAGTAATATGAGTTATACCTAGACTAGATAAGTCAAGCTATTAAACTACGATTGGAATGCAATTCATCCGACTAATGCAATATTTTTTATATTTATTATTCATCTTTAATTTCTATGCAATTCTAATATGAAATACATGCAATGATACTTTAAAATTTAAGTGAAGGATAAAAATGTGCATTGTACCAATTTAATCCCTAAGAAGTAACCTCATCCTCATGAGTCACCAAAGGATACACATGAAAAGAAAGAAATAAATGCAATATGAATGCATATCATGATTTGCACTAAAATTTTACATTTAATCTTAATTTAAATTTCATTTTTATGTGGTTATTTAGTTTTAGATGAGTGGTAAGGAATAGTAGTGAAATCATTAGGGCATCTTCTTACATTCATTCTTTCTAGCCAACCAACCCTTGGGGCATCCTAAGGCTACCCCTTTTATAGGGTAAAAAATAGATACAACATCGCAACTCTAGACACGGCGCTAGGGCACTGTTAATATGGTTGATGCCACGTCAGCTGACAAGATTGGGTGTGCGCCTTAATATAGGGTCATGTGTTTGTAAAGGCTACCCCTTTTATAGGGTAAAAAATAGGTACAACATCGCAACTCTGGACACGGCGCTAGGGCACTGTTAATATGGTCGATGCCACGTCAGCTGACAAGATTGGGTGTGCGCCTTAATATAGGGTCATGTGTTTGTTGGGTGTCTTAGCTCAACTAAAGACGTTGGGGGCGTTGTTGGCAGAGTCAATGCCACACTAATGCCCATCATGTAGATGTCCAATCAAAAGTTACATTCGGGACCTGAGCAATCTGGAGCCATGGCACTGGGTTCCTCTTATGTGTCTAGTGTTATGTCAGTGCTTGTAATGATATCCATCCAATTAGGACCACTATGGGCCTAATTCTGGCATAATGACACGACTTTGAACCCAACGTTGCGATGTCGACGAGGTGGCAATCATGCCAAATCATCGATTACTTAAGGCCCAACTAACATGAAAAAAATTACCTCCCAAACTATATGATGTCGAAATAAAATCTTTAGAAATTTGCCTCACTCTTTTGGCTAAGAGTTCTAACATCACAAAATATAGCACATCAAGTTAAAATAAAGATATACAACAAAGACATAATACTCCAAACACAACTATTTTTCCTTAATTATCTAAAAGGAGATACATGATTTCCAAAAGATCTCTTCATGTGGGCAGAAAGATACATATAAAAAATAATAAAAGATGGCATGGCTATTATAGGCTTGGTAGCCACCCACCTCCTGTATTGTCGAACGTTGCTCTATTTGCCCCTTTCCCGTAACTACAATCACGAGGAGAATGCGGGGCCGCTATCTCCCACCACTTGAGGACTTAATGCAATGGTCCGATCCAATTGAACTGCTGAGATCTAAGTGGCATTGTGTTAATATCCACGTCCTCTTCTTCTCTCTCACGCATTCTCCTTCACGAGCAGCTCGGCTCCAGCAACAGTCAATCCAAGGTGAACCCCAGCTAACTCGGATCGGCTGAGAATTCACTCCAGATCAGTCTGAGCTAACTCAGGCTAATCTGAATTCAACTCAAACATAGGTGCCTCGGGGTTAAGGAGTGTTTGACTTCTCATTCGAGAACAAAAACACACTTAGCCTCGGTCAGAGACAATCTGGGCCAAAGAATAAACAAACAAATAAGACATGACATAAAATCCATCCTAAAAGCCGCTAAAACTTAACTTCAACCAAAAAATGCAACTTGGTTTGAGAAAGTATTTTAAAGGAGACAACCCATGACTGGTAACAAAATATCTTCCAGTCACTTATGGTTAATTAAACTGCAAACCCCAATGACCCCAGGACGACGGAAAATGAGATCTTAACCGGGTCATTCTAAACATCAAAAATAAAACACAAAAATGACAAAAAAATCTAATCGATTAATAAGTCTTAAGAATCTAAAATTTTCAGCCCCTAAAATCCCAAAAAGACATTGAAACTTAAATGAAAATCTAATGAAAAAAGATCACGGAACGCAACTTTAACCCTATTACCCGGATCTACGAAGTCCCATGGACGACGAAAGCCATGGTTGCTGACAAGAATATTTCGGTAAAAGTAGGTTTGACCGTCTCTCAGACTAAGTAGATTAGTGAACCTGACAATCCCGGGATGATGGAAAGTCATGGGTATCTTAACCAAGTTGTCTCAAATAAGAAAAAACAAACAACTAAATCATCAAACAATAACATATTTTATGCTAATTACGCTTTGCAGGGCAGATGAAGACAAGACGAACATCACCCTAGATTTACTTTGCGTGTTATTAGGGTATTTTACTCTGTTTTGCAGGGACGACCATTAGAACCACCAAAAATACGGTGCGAATGATGAACCTCAATTAAACCATTGACAACAACACAAAATCATAGAATAGTTTAAGATCTTGGTAGGACTCTTCTGATCCTTCAAGCATCTGCTACCCTTAGGATAGGACTTTGAAACTCCTTCCTTAAAAACAACAACATTCAAACTTTCTGAGGATGAGTTACAACCATAATCGAGAGTTTTCTAAAGTAATTAACAGTTACTTAAGATACAATTAACTATAAGAGTTTGCTCTTATAAGAAGAAGTGGACCCCAAAACAGGTACAATAACCCGAAATTTTTA